GTGGCCAGTGGAACTGTAACACTTGGCCCTTTGATGGTTTTCAACAGAAAGTAGGCCAAGAACAAAAATCCAGACGATAAACAATCAATACGTCAATGATTAATTTTCTTGGCATTGAGACATTAAAATCAAACCTTAAGTTCTGTGTTCTTTTTGATATTAACATATTTGGCAGTGTACTAGCAGGTTTGGGTTTTTTGTTTTTTTTGGGAGAGGGGGGGGGATTTTTGCAAGAGTGAGTCCTAAAACCTGAGTTAACATTTTTGCACTTCTGGGTCCTTCATCACTGTGTGTGTGTGTGTGTGTGTGTGTGTGTGTGTGTGTGTGTGTGTGGTTAAACACAAGCTAATGACATTTAAACCTTTTGTTCTACGATATGAAATGCAGTAACTTGACGAAGGACTCAAATGCACCCTGTGGATCCCGAATCAGAACAGTTTATTGCCATGGTATGTTGAACTTACAAGAAATTTGACATGATGGGAGGTGCATAACATTTAACAACAAACAGTGCAAAGTAGAAACATATTAACATTTACAGAAATATAAAATAAAGTGCACAAACTAACAGATAACGGGACTATAAACAAGTAAGGTGTAAGTGTCGAGTGTAATAGAAGGGATGCAGGGGAGTGACCGGTAGGAAATTGTCCTGGGGATGACTGAGTCAGTGGGGGTCCCGGGCTCTGTTAATGAGCCCGACTGCCGACAGGAAGAAACTGTTCGTCTCGTGAGGTCTTGGTCCTGATGGACCGCAGCCTCCTGCCAGATGGAAGGGGCACAAACAGTTTTTGTCCAGGGTGAGAGGGGTCGGCTACAATTCTTCTTGCTCGCTTCAGGGTTCTTGAAGGGAACAAGTTCTGGAGGAACTGCAGATTGCAGCCAATCACCCTCTCGGCAGAGCGAATGATGCGTTGCAGCCTGCCCTTGTCCTTGGCGGTGGCTGCAGCGTACCAGACCGTGATGGAGGAGCAGAGGATGGACTCAATGATGGTAATGTAGAAGTGCACCATCATTGACTTTGGCAGGTTGAATTTCTTCAGCTGCCTCAGGAAGTACATCCTCTGCTGGGCCTTCTGTGATGGAGCTGATGTCCCCACTTGAGGTCCTGGGTTATGATGGAGCCCAGGAAGCGGAAGGACTCCACCGCGTCGACGGGGGAGTCACACAGAGTGATTGGGGCTGCATTCTTCCGGAAATCCACAACCATCTCCACTGTCTTTAGAGTGTTGAGCTCAAAGTTGTTCAAACCGCAGATGGTCAGTCTCCCACCTGTAAGTGGACTCATCCCCACCAGATGTTGGCAAAGGTTCTTGAGATAGTTTAGCAAATAGGTGATTGATGCAATGCTAATCATAGTGTTTGTTTAATTCGATTCATTTTATTTTTGTATTCTAATATGCTCTGACCAAATTAACCAAGCCAGGTGTGTAGAAAGCCAAAGGCGCGAAACAAGTCAGTTTGTTGACCTTAAACTGAATTTGAACATAAGAAAAAAACATTGCTGTTAGATTTTAGAAGAAAGCGACAACAGCAACTGTCCTTTTAATACTTATGAATGGTAAAACTCAACAGCAAAGAGTCAACTGACCCACGTCCTCCATTCTTTAACTTCTTCTCGGTTTTTCCAAACTCTACCTGCGTCCAACGATTGTGAGTGCACTGCCCTCGCATTGAGTAACGGCACTCTAGCAGCATCAAGCTAGACAACGGCATAGTATTACTTCTGGTTAACTCATTCAAAAATGTTTTAATAGAGACCGGTGTAGTCAATGACTTTGACCACAGAGGACAGTATGCTGACTGTAGCATATATGACTGACGCTGAGGAATTTCAATGTGGGATAAACTCAACAGAAAATGGGTCTCAACCACTTATTAGTACCACCTAGACCAATGTTAATGTATTTGCAATATTGATACTATAATAAATAGTACATTAATAGATTAGATGGAGTAGATTAATACATTGATTGTAGATAGGTACAGTTTGTAGAATTTGGTGGCATCAAGTGGGTTGGTTGCAGATTGCAGGCAGGCTCTCACTATGGCCAGTGATGTTTGTCTGTTATGGGCTACTGTGGAAACATGGCGGTGCAACATTGCGGACTCCGTGTAGAGGACCGGCTCTATGTAAATACGAAGGATTCATTCTAGGCTAACAAACTATTTTCATGTCAAACTTATTACACTATATTCTACTTCTGATAGATCCCCTGAAATGCTACAGTACCTTTAACATTTACTGTATAAATTAAAGTCATTAGATTTCACAGGCAACCACAGAATTTAACATTTTTTAAGCCTCCATTAATTCAAGTTAGACTGGAAATAAATGCATTCAGAACAAGAGACATTTCTGACCAGCTAAACTGAAGGAGGCAGAGTAAAGATGGGGTTTCCTCAGTGTTTTTCTATGTGCAAAGTTTATTTTCATGAAGTCTGTGCAGGTGTTCTTTGAAAAATGAGCCTTGAATGACTTATGATCATTGCACTATGCTTCTATAAACTCATACCATTATTTCTATTGACAGCCTCTTGACACAATATTCTGATTGTATCAAGGAGTAACTGGTTAGTGTTTCCAAATACAAGGATGAGAATATGCTGAAAGGCATTAGAGACACATTAAGGGTTTATGAGCTTGTTTATTGAAAGAAAAAAGTTTATATTCAGACATTAGTAGAGAAATCACATAAAATCTAGTAGAAGGACCGATCCTAAAACAAATATTCACGATCAAGCTTCAGTTTTTCACATAACTTAAAAGCTCAAAAAAATAAAAATACAGAAGCTTCTAAACCGGCTACCATCATATTCTCAGACAAGGTATGAAATAACTAATAAGCAGCAGAACATGTATATTTTCATTTAACTGAACTCTTCAGCAAAGCATTGGTGAAGATTAACTGGATTAGCAAACAGTGGCTTGTCCAGACTCTTGACTGGGATGATATGAATTATATTACACACATGCATCGAAATGGCAGTACTTGACCCTTTGTTTCCACTACTCATATCTATTTTTACTAATTACAGTGTCCTACAACTTATTCCATTCTTCTGCTTCAAATCTTCATTTAAAAAGATAAATAGACCTTCCAATCACAACACAGTGGCACTGTACAAATATGAATCTTCCACTTCCTCTGCTCTGAATATCTTATTGAGAACCTTTAAAACCTCACAAAGTATTTGTACTTTCAAAAGTTGGTTGCACACAAAAACAAAACAAAAATAAAGTATAAAGTGTCAGCGAAACTTAAATAAATGAGCCTGTGTGGACAAAAAGTAAGGCCCCGCCCCAGACCACAAAGAAGCACCAACATAGTTTATGATAATGAGGAAGCACCTGGAGTGGTTGGTGCCACTCCCTGAACACGCCCCTATTAGCATTTTAGCATTACCATAAACGACAGACGTGATGCGCTCATACTTACCAGAGAAGACTCTGCCTGTATTAACAATAATTAAATCAGTTTAACTGGAGGTTATTCCCATCAAAACCTATGTTGAGAAACAATAACATTCAGCAGATAGAAATGTGTTGCACACTTAAATATTTACCATTTATGCCCCGAGTTATTCCTAACAATCATACAACCAAACGGCTGCCATTAATGTAAAATGCTGAAGAATTGTTAAGAGCTCGTTTCATGTTTTTCATAAAAAGGTGACAGACATTAACGTCTCATTGTGTGTGCACACAAAACACAGGTTGAAAGAAATTAAAATCACAGCAGTGGTACTTACAGCTTTAACTAACCTGTTACTGGTTCGGATTCTCCTTCATGCAAGTAGTTAAATGCAAATGATCAAGTGAGGACAGCTGATGAAACAAACAGGATTAAGTAGTGCAGCCATTTTACAAGCATATGTTTTCATCACAAACCTCCCAACAAAACATTGTATGTATGTGTCTGGCCGTTAATGCCGTCTGTAACAAATTATTTGATTTTGACCACCCGGTAAATGTTTCAGGCAGTAAACTGCTGTAGACTGTAGGACTACGTAAAACCAAAAGCTTAGTAAACATGAGCCAACATGCCTGAAGAAAACACAAACAAGGGCCTTCACCAAACTTGCTGCAAGTTTGGGGACATTGCGATCCAACAGCGTGTAAGCTGTGAGGGCCCCTGGTAATGAATGAGAAGACAGAAAATGGTGAGACTTGCCTCGGGCTGAAACAGGGCTACACTGAGACAGGGCCTCAGCCAGTCCCCCATGGCATCGCTACAGGGAGAAGAGAAATCGGGGTTTTAGCACTACAACCACCCGGAAGTTATGCAGCTGTACAACTTACACGCCATGTACAGAGCATCAATAATAACAGGAATAAACAATACACTGCTTAGAGCCTAAATAAAACATTCACCAACATTTTTAATTTCAACTCAAAAAGCATAAAAGCACATTTCTGTTGATACTTTTCAACCTGTGGAGTACAAACCTGCTGCGACGTCTCTTTTCCCACTCGCGTCCCGCAAAGAAGAGTCTTACATTTTTGCCACATTTTATTACAGTACAGTTTTACAGCAAATGCATATGCCACTTCATTTCGTACTTCAACTATTTAGGGTTATAGGAACTATAAACATGAAACAGAATGAATGCATAAACAGATATTTGAAGCCCTCACCAAACAAAGTTGGGGACACAAAGTCCAACAGCACTACGTGCTGTGAAGGCCTCACTGTTTAGCTTAGAACAGAAACGTATTTACATAAGACTTGCCTTGATAAAGGGTGGGAACTGCCCATGTAACTCCAGCGCCTTCACAACACTACGAACCATATCTACTATACTTCTATACACCTGAATGAAACATGAGAAGGAAAAGAAGCCACAGAACAGAGAGGGTTTGAAACAACAGGTCATAGTCTTGGTTAGGTACAGTGTAAATATTTCCCAACGCTCTGTGATGCTTTCATAGCTCTTTTGTTTGCCGTTTATTCAGTGTCTCTTCCTCAGAGCTCAGTAGTAGAATAAACAGTACGTCGGGGTACTATAACACCAATACTGGCTTGTCTACTAGCAGCTGAGGACATTAGAAAAGGGTTGAGTGTCCAAACCTATTGAAGAGAGGATGGCAGGCTTCAGTAGCGGGCTCCAGGAGACATGACAGGGGGTCTCATACCCATGGGTGGAGGGGCTCCCTGGTACCCTGGGGGAGCCACGGGAGGGGCCAGTCCATATGGAGGCATCCCTCCGGGCATGTAGCCTGGAATCCCCTGGGGTGGACCACCATACTGGCCTGCGAAAACACAGGTTTGTTGTCGGCTTTATATTTAAAAAAAAAAAAATCAGGAGCATAACTCATGTTGTTTTAACTTTATACAGCCATGCTAGCAGCTCCAGGATCTACTTGTGCCGCATTTATGTCATATGGGATGGACGGCAGGGATAGGAAAGAATCCCATGTTAACGACTGGCGAGCGTTTGTCATCAAGTCATATGATTAGAGCAGTGGTGCTTCAAGCTAAATGTTAACAGCAGGATGCTAACATGCTCACAGTGACGATGATGCTAAGCAGGTATTCTGTTTACCATGTTCACTATCTTAGTTTAGCAAGCTAGCATGCTAATATTTGCCAATTAGCCCTAAACTAAGTACAGCTGTGGCTGATGGGAATATCAGTACAGCAGGTTTTAAGTCATGAACCAAAGTATTGGCCAATTTTAAACTTTAACCTGATGGTGGCGCTATAGGAAAGGTCTGGGGATCACCAAAGTAATTAGGGTTTATCCTCCGGGGACCATCAATGTCTGTACAAAATCTCATGACAAACCATCCAATGGTTGTTGAGATATTTCAGTCTGGATTTAAGTGGTGGACTGAAAAGAACGACATTGCCATCCCTAAAACATGCCACATTCAGACATATTCAGTGTTGCAAGGTAAGATATAGCACTAATGAATGAATGATATATATATATATATATATATAATGACACTTAAGAGAGATTCTCATCATAATGTAAAGTCTTTCTGAACTAGAGGCAGGCGGTGGATACCAGGTATAGGGTGCCTCATGCCGGACTGCTGAGGTGCCATCATGCCCCCGACAGGACCAACTGACGGGGTAGCAGCGCTGGTCTGGCCTTGGCGGGGAGCGCTGCGCTGGTACCTCGGCAACTGAGACCGCAACTCTTCCTAAAAAGACACAGAAATCAAACGAGGAGGAATCATTTGACGCTGAAACTCTGTAGCTCAACCAGGACAAATAAACAGCATTATTAAATCAATTTCACTCAAGAAAAGCCAGTTATATACTTTGGTGTGAACAGAAAGTAAGACGTTAGCTATGATTAACAGTTTTAGAAGCTGCTTACTGTTAAAAAATGAACTATAAAGAGAGGCGGTAGCAGAGGGACTACTTACCAGTGAGATATCCTCATCGGGGTGGATCAACTTACTGGTTGCACTGGAGGTGGTGAGGGTAGCAGGCTTACTGGTCACAGTAGAGGGAGGTTTTGAAACCGTACTGCTGCCAGCATTGGGGCTGACCACAGCTACGGTGGCCTGAGTGTAGGCCGGGAATGTGGGCTTTGAGGGGTCAGAGGAGGGACAGGGAGGAGGGTGGGGGGGCCCTGACTGCTGGCTCTGAGTGGAGAGAGAAGACCAAACCATCAGAGAGACTCCGCTGAAAGGCATTCACATTTCACAGGGGAACACTTTCAGTCATATTCTGAGGCTACTCTCATTTAGTTTATAGTCATTTAAAGCTTGGCATGAATATCTGTGTGGTTTACAGGCTTGAGATGGACTGTCTCTGGATTCCTCTCTCCCTTAATGCTCGTATCTCCTCTTTCTTTACAGGGTAAGTTCCCCCAAATCAGAAAAACATACTTTCTTAAGTTCCCCTTCGTAAAAGCCGGGCAGTTAAGAAATAGAAATTCAAGGTGATTTTTGCACCTACGTCATTTTTCCAATGCCAAGTACAACCGAGTACGTTTTGGTTTCAGAAGAACATGTCAACATCAAAATAAAACCATAACAGTATTGAGTGAATATTGGGCTTTAATGTGCCAATTTGTATTTCCACTTCATAATGACGTTAAACAGGGTCTCAGTTATTTCTTCAACACGTTTACACCATTGGAGTTACTCCGGAGAGTAACCCTATGAAGTATGACTAAAAGGTAAACCTGTTTCTTCAAGCCTGCAGGAAAACAAAACCAAAAGAGCATGCTGTGCTTTGTTGCCCTACAGCAGTTCAGAAATAAGAAGCCCACTTTACTAATCTGCATAACTCTCTTTTCTGATTTTTTCCAGGTGAAATGTTAGTCAGTGTCAGTAATGTCAGTAGTGTTCTATAAATGCAGATTTGTAGCAAAAGAAAAAAAAAACAACAAAGGCATGTTGCTATTTTCAACCCCCACAAATGGTTGGATTTCATCGTTTCTTACTAAAACAGCTTTGTCAAATAAAATAGAAATAACGCCCAAGTACACCACAGCAGGCAAACTATACACAATGGTGTGCATGCTCATTGTAAAGCTGCATGTTGTCAGAGTAGAGCAGGCCGACAGCTGCGTACTTGTGGCGTGATAGGGAACAGAGCTTTAGGGGAGGCAGACTGAGAGTCTGCACTTGTACTTGCAACGCGACTTCCCATCTGCAGCACAGGAAAAGAGTAAAGAATAAGAAACCGTAGAGAAAAGTAATTCTTCAGTTAAAGGAATGGCTGGGTAACGTCTCCTGCGGTTCAGACTGTGTGAGCACAGAGAGCTACTTTAAACAATCCCTTATTCAACAGGAGACGGTGATGTTCTGCCCCATCAGAGATGAAACGTGGTACATGGTGTCATAAAGGTTTGTACCTGTCCAGCAATGGGGAACAGAGGCTTTGTGACATCGGGCTGGGCTGAGGGGGCAGCGGCAGCAGGAACAGCAGGTCTAGTCAGCACGTTTGCAGCAGAGGGAACCTGAGCCATGTGTGGGAGGCCTGGACGGTGGCCCACAGGAGGAGGCATGCCTGTGACAACAGCAGAACAAATTCATCACACAAGGGAACAAGTACAGCCTCACTACAACAGCGGTGCAGTGTCGTTACAATCAATTGTCAATATAAATTAATAATTAACATCAAAGGTGATCATTAGCTGGTGGCACACCTGGTATCATTGGTGGCATCCCGGGGCCTGGAGGCATCAACCCGCCCATTGGTATCATCCTAAATGCACCAGGGAAGATACACACGTTTACAATATAAAGATATAATAAGATTAATAAGACATGACTATGTTTGTTAATAACCCTGAGCATTTACCCCGGAGGCATTCCTGGCATTAAGGGAGGCATTCCTGGCATCATTGGTGGCACACCTGGCATCATTGGGGGGATTCCTGACATAAAGATGAATTGAAGCGCAGGTGTGTTATCACATCACAAAACAGTTTATGTAATTAATATTAAGCAACACCTATTGTTTTTACACCTTGATCAAACTATGACTATCAGAGTCTTTTTAGAGACACTTGGTGCCATCAATGTGCTTGAGAACATAAATAATTGTCTGAATCGAGTCTTATGAGTAGCAGAAAAGAAAGAGGATGAAAGAGGATACAGCAGCAGGTAAACCATGTGTGTTTAAGTGTAAATACTGAACTCTATAAACAGCATGATACCCATACCGTGTTATCTAAGGTCACTGTTTCCTACCCAAGTAGCTGCCCAGTGGTATCCCTGGAGCACCAGAGCCAGGAGGAATGCCCGGCTGGGTCATAGGGGGTATGTAACCGGCCTGGGGTTGGCCTGCAGCAGGCTGCTGGAAGGAGGGACCGGGCTCGTCATCCTCATCGATCTCATCGGAGTCATCCTGGTTCTGTTTCTTCTTTTGCGTCTCTGAAAAGCAGGAAGAGCATAATACGTCTCTAGAATAGAGCATAAAAGACAGTTTCATTGAGGTATTTTGGTTGCTAATACCTTGGTTCTTTTGTTCTAGCACTCTTCTTCTCTCTTCCATGTCTTTTTCGGGAATACCCTCCATGCCATATATCTCAAGCTCAATGTCTATTCTTCCAGGTATTGCATTAGGAACTCCATCAATTGTCTCTTTGTGTACCTGTGATAACAGTGACACAGTCAGGCAAAAGGTCTTCCTTTGATTTCATGAAGGTGCTTTGCAGTATTGTTTCCTCACCTGCATACAGTGGATCGCAAGCCCGGGGCCGGTGTACAGTTTTTTATGACAGATGTGGCACTTGAAATGTTTGGCCTTCTGGTGTTGAATGAGAATCTTTTCATCATCGAAGTCTCTGTTACAGTACCTGAGACTATGATTCAGGAAAAACTCGATCATGCTGTTTTACTCATTATCTATTCTGTCATAGTACTTTCTTCAGAGCTAGTGCTTAAACTAAAGCAACACCGACGACAAGTTCAAAATCGTGCAACATACTGCGAGCCAGCTGACGTTAAACGGCTGTTAACATGATAAACTCAGGTTAATGTACAGTTAGCTTAGTAAACAGAGGACAGACACAGGTCCTGATAAGAACAAGATAACGTTAGAACAATAACTCTAAATGTAAAATGTGAACAAGGATACCAGCACCAAGGCTTCATCTGCTTCTTCTTCTTCCTCCCCATGATTCCTGGACTGTCAGTCCACTTCTAACCCAGTGGACCGATACAAACAACACACCTACAGGGAGAGGGCTACGGGAATTAAAGATGGCGGCGGGTCTCCAGCGTCATAAAACAACGTAGAACAACACTGCGACCTCAAGGCGCCCTCTGGTGGCCCCAAACTCTTGTTTACTTGTTATTAGAATTAAATACTGTATATTGGACAATTCATTTGTAGCACGGACCCCTCACATCTGCCCACGCTAACTATTTTCACCATAGATGTTTCAGCCATTCAACTCTAACATTACAATATTGGTAATTTAAGTTACCAGCAATCACAATCACAATCACAATTTAAAGCACATCATTTACAGGTATAAAACTAATCTAATATGTACACACCCAATTGAAAGACAAACACGTCATAATTAAAACATTTGTGTAAAGCTTGGCCCAGGAACAGATAAATGTAACGTTATATCATCGCAGTCGGACATAATTGAGAACGTACACATAAGACGCATGCGCAGAAGGTACATAAACGAGAATACCGCTAATACAACTGCTGCAGTTGTTATTTTACTGTCAGCTGGAGATCCCGACGTCATTTATACATATCTACCAACACATCACGGCTAAATTAGAAACACGTCCTTGATTTAGTTTGTTGTAGCTGCTCGCTCCGTGCAGCATCGGGATCATGTTTACCTCCCAGACTTCGTCCTTCCAGGATTCCATTGACGTGGAAGAGAGAGATGACTTTGACAGCGAGGAGATTGCCGGATACAGCCAGAAAACTCAGCTGAACTGCTACTACACCATCTATCTGTATCAAGGCACAAGGTGATGGTCGACACTGCTCGTCCCACTTTATGATTTTCAAAAGATAACAGCTGTGGTACAACTTCTGCAAGGACATTTGCAGTGAGTGTTGGGTCCACGATGTCATGTATTAGGAATAATGCTATTAATACCTAATTATTTTTTTTATGGTTTGGTTACATGTTATTCTTCACAGTAGCGACTGTAATCCTAATAATATTCTAATCCTGCAGGACATCAATCTATTTCTCACTGTTGAGTATTTGTAGTCCCTTGTTCCTGAACCTGCTGACAGTGACACCGTGTTTTAACTGCAGGTAAAACCAGATTTATACTAAAAAAAAACTAACCAGGTGATGAGTAAACTGTCGATTGTCGTAGATCTGAGGCTTCTGGGGAAAATGTGGCATGGAACCAGAGACGAGCAGACTCCACAACCAGTCAGGATGACTTTAGGTAACAAAGGAGCCGCCCGCCTACCCTTCTCCTCACTTTCAGTGGTCGTTTCTCTTCGGCTTTCACTGTTGTGCATTGGTGTATCCACGGGCTGCCACCGGACATCCAATCAACATGGAATCAATGCTGTTTTCATCTGTGATTTTTGTTCTGATTGGTCACTGCTGTGCTGCTGAGTTACATGGCCTTTAGGTCTCTCCCAATTTCAACCCGTCTCCACTTCCGAGTGTCGGGTGGACAGTTACAGCTATGTGACTCAGTTGTGTGTCGTGTTGGTCGTGGCTAATGCTCATCAGCTTTCTCCATCTGTTCTCCATTGGCTTTGAGTGGCTTCCGAATTCCTCGTTGTCTCCGGGCGACTGCTCGTATCCATACTGATTTTTCTGCCCTGCCCACAGCCTGACACTCGTCGACAGCAGCCTTCCATCAGAGGCGGAACCTGAGCTGCGGACTTACATTTCGAGGAGGCTCAGCAAAGGTGCCCTGCTGGGAGGCATGGGCAACATTGCCACTGTGGAACTCAGGTGACAACAAACGTTTTGCATCAGTAATGCTACATACGAACCAATAGGGACACACAATCAAGGGTTTGTGACAAAACAACTCAAGATCATGTTCCTTCTTCTGGGACTGATGGGTGATGTGTTTGACTCTATCACAGTAATACAATAAATTCAGCTGGAAATGACGGTTCAGAGGGGGACAAAATAAGTTGGTTAACACAAATGTGTTTATTATTATTATTATTATTGTTATGTACTCTCCCCAGTATCCCAGAGCAGGCAGTGGGCTGCTACTGCTGTCTCCTGGAGCAGGAACGGTCTCCCGAACAGCCTGATGCTGATGGAAACGGATATGTGATCTGCTTCATGGGCGGCTCTGAAAAAGGACTGAACTTATATCCTTTGTGCACAGTTGTTTATTGCAAAGTGTCCTCATGAAATCAACCCTAGTTATTGGCTCCAGCATTAGTTGTTGACATACTCCTTGGTCTTTTCTGCATAGTTGTATGGCCTCCACATTGTTGTAACTTTGTACAGAGAAAGAGACAAGTTCCTTGACCCAATACACATTTCGATTAGAACTTGATAAATACGTCCAAGGCCTGCACAGCAGCCTGCAAACCCCAGAGGTATGTGGCTGTAATAAGTGTCATGAAGTTTGATTTTTGCTGTTACAATTTTAATGCAATATAGATTTGTGTGTATGTGTGTGTGTCAGCTGCAGAACCTTGAGACAGAGGTGCGTCCGTATCTGAGCCGGTGGTACGAGGAGTCTGTGATGCACATTTATCGGGTGGTGCAGCTGGTCCAGAGCAACATCAGCTTCCTGCTGCACGCTGTGAGTCCGTTTTCTTTCCTCTAGAGTGTGTCCAATAAAAATTAAGAGCACAGTTTCTCTCTCCTGTAAGAAAAATAGTCGACAGTGGAACTTTACAAGGAAAATAGTGTTCTTATCTGTATTTTTGGGGGAGCATTTCCTTGAAATGCTTGTCGACTATATGCTTTAAAATACGGCTATCCAAATGATTTATTTGATCATTCAAACTCTGTGTGTGTGTGCAAGAATTAACTTGTCTCCAGAACAATGCATTTCAGTCATTACATGTTCTGTACACAGGCGCTGAGTCACACACATGTGGAGCTCAATAATTCCGATGAGAGGACAAAGGCTGATGTGTCCCGGTGAGTTTGCTGATGTCCCCCGTAGCTACACTAACACATCTTTTAAAAAGGGAGCCGGTCTCTTGTTTGTTTCCATGCAGTACAAAATGTAAATGAACCATCTGTTTTGTTAGCTGTTAAATGTGTGTTGTGTTCTGTACCAGGTTCATCAAAGCAGCCAGTTTGGTGGGTCTGTCCCAACAAGACACTACAACAGCTTCTCTGTGTAAGGCGATCTCAGAGGACACGCAGTCTGACCTGATCCTAGACTGCTCCACCAGCCCACCCACACTCTCTAACGCAGGTAAGTCATGACATAAATCAGATGACAGATCGTTTTTATCTCCGTAAGAGTCTGATGACGATGTTTTCTCCCCCAGTCAGTAATCGTTTCTGTGATGACTGGATTCAGGCCTTTCTAAACGCTGCAGAGCGATGTAATCCTTTCCTGCTCAGACAGATTCTGGAGAACTTCAAACTTAAGGTCAGAAAACATACACATGGACCGACTATAACATGGGTTGAGTGCTGCGTACTTTAGTATTTTGTGTATAATTGTTTTTTTTAAATGATACTTATCCCACAACATTGAGAACCTTTGGACAACAGCTCTCAGTTCCTCTTGGCAGATACACAGTACAACTTCCACTGTCTATCGTTCAGATTGCTTCCCTTTTTAAAAAAAAAAAAACTTGTTTCCTCCTTCCTCTATCAACCACCACTCGCAGGCCATCCAGGACATGAACAGCCTGAAGCGCTTCGTGCGTCAGGCAGAGATGAGTCACTACGCCCTGTTTCGCTGCTGCCTCTTCCTTCAGGGCTGCGGAAACGGGGATGTGTTGCTGCAGAATGCCAGAGCGGAGCACAACGACATGCCTGAAGCCTGCAGCATCATCTCCGTCCTGGAGGAGTTCATCAAGGAACAATCCCAGGCCCAGGCCTGATTCCATCGCAACACCTGAGTTGTGGGGCCTAGATACTATTCCAGCCACAAAGCAGATCGCTTGTTCAATTCTAAACCTAGCACCACATCCTATGTTCAACGTCGGTTCGCCAGGTAAACATTTAGCAGCGCTGACATTTTTTTTCAATCTGCCGACTGTCATGGCAGATTTAGAATTTGAATGTTACGTTTCCTGTGCTGGCACCTCTGCTGCTTCTCAACGAGTAAAAGTAAAAAGTCCGATCTGGAGTATGTGCCGTAAAACCCTGAGACTCAGCTTCCCTCAACAAGTGTGTCTGTCTTTGGGGCTAATAATAGTTCATTGAGATCTGTAACATCACTTATCTTAACAGTGAAGGTTAGTTGCCAGCTGGAGATGATAGTAAAAATGAATTGATCTAGTCGTAGAGCGGCACTTTCCCAATCTTTTTACTTTTGCAAATGTTAGCGTTGTGTTGAGCGTTTCAAAATACTTTGAACCAAATATTAATACTATTGTTTTGCTAACTGACAATGATCACAAAACGTAACTGATCCAAACTAAAGCTTCTACTCGTTAAAGTGGAGTTATCTATTACTTATTTCATATCCAAATGTTTAATTTATCATTTTGTATTTTAGTTGATTATACTTGTTTTCTTTTGAGAAGAAACACATTGAGAATGCACAAATCACTTTTATGCATTGCTTGTTTCATAGGCTTCGTTTGTGCTTACTTTATTTCAACACAATACCTGCACGACAATATGATTTGTGTCTAATGAATACTGCTACTGTATGTACATAATGACTATCAAGTGATAGATGTAATCCTTCTATGTGAATACAGTGTTGTAGATACAGTGTCATTTTGGGGTATCATTTCCTGTTTACAAAAATCTTAATTGCATTCACCAGCTGAAGACTTCATGAGAACAAAACAGGCACTTTGTGACCAGTTACTCACTACATTTACTAAACATGTTTAGTTTCAAAGGTTCTACAATATTAATACCCACAGAAAGAAGTTATAAACAGAAGAAATGAAAATGTAGAATATAAGAAGATGTATAAAGATGCTCACAGTAAATGTTGGCATGCCTTCGTTTTATTTTCCTTTCATTGTGTACCTGCAACATGTTCTGATGTTCCATCAAACCCAATAAAGGGTTTTAGCTCAAACCAGTCCAAAGTGTGTAATACAGCAATACAGGTGGCGATGTATACTTGTAAACTGTCAAGTAGGTGATATGTAAATGAGTCATTTTACTATCGTGAACCACAGTGTGACTGTGACCTGACCAGAGTGTGTATGTGTTAACATGTCTGTGCGGTCTTCTCTATAGTTATAAACATCTATGTTGGTCTTGTATAGAAGAAGCTGAAATAAATACCACAGTTGAGCCTATTTGTTGTGGTTGTTGCACGCTGTCGAGCATACAAAGCCGACAAACATTTGCACATATATAGATATATATCTATCTATCTCTATATAGATAGATATAGATTATATATCTATCTATCTATCTATCTATCTATCTATCTATCTATCTAT